TGACTGACTGACAGGATGACTGTCTGACTGACTGACTGACTGGATGGATGGATGGATGGATGGATAGATGGATGACTGGATGACTGACTGTATGGATGGATCACTGTCTGTCTGACTGACTGACTGACTGACTGACTGACAGGATGACTGTCTGACTGACTGACTGACTGGATGGATGGACGGACGGACGGACGGACGGATGGACGGATGGATGGACTGATGGATGACTGTCTGTATGTCTGACTGACTGACTGACTGACTGACTGACAGGATGACTGTCTGACTGACTGACTGACTGGATGGATGGACGGACGGACGGACGGACGGATGGACGGATGGATGGACTGATGGATGACTGTCTGTATGTCTGACTGACTGACTGACTGACTGAGTGACTAACTGACTGACTGACTGGATGGATGGATGGGTGACTGGATGACTGTCTGAGTGACTGAGTAACTGTCTGTCTGACTGACTGACTAACTGACTGGCTGGATGATTGACTGATTGGGTGACTGACTGTCTGACTCACTCACTCATTCATTCGTTCGTTCATTCATTCATTCACAATGCACGCATACTTTCTAAGGCATGTGTGAAGGGTTTTCTCATTTCCAAGCTTACGATTCTTGTTCCCCTCAGGAAAATATAGCTTGGCCAAGTCATATGGTCATTAAACAAAACCAGCATCCTCCCTTAACTTTGCTCTTTGGAAGACAGCTAGGAAGGTGGCCAATGACCGTCACGTGTCCCCAGGATCCTACGATCATTGAAAATACATTCTGAATATTTGCGCCTGAGTTATGATCACATCACAGTAGGGATGCGGCCTACTGTCATAAACCTGAGGGCCGGACTTCACTCACTCCCCCCTCCCCGCTGTTGTAAATTTGAACAGTCCCGAAACAAATGCCTGCAAATCAAAGTTTGCCAGTATCCAACTCTATGTGATTTCTCGGTGTGAGGGCATCTTCAGCAATCTGATATGTTGGGAGAGCAGAGACTCCTGAAAGCGCCATTAGTAGTCCCACGTTACTTCCCTTTCTCTGAAATTCCTACAAGTGGCTTCTTTTGTCTCCTCTCTTCCAGCAAGCCTTCAACGCCACAGCTGTGGTGAGACACATGCGGCGGCTACACCTTGGCAGCAGCTTGGACAGCGGCTCCAACATTAGCGTATCAAACAACCTTAGTTTGGCCAACCCGCTCCCGGACGGCGCATCCCGAAAAGAGTGTAAGTATATGGTGTGACGCAGAGTAACCAAAATGTCTTGAAAGGAAAACCAGTTGCCTCCTGAAAAATAGCACCTTTGGCACAACTATGGCCTGGAGGACTGAGGATTTCTTTTCTTTTTTTAATTTTTAATTTTGAACACATGCACACAAAAGCCAAGACAAACGTTACATTTATACGTCACACCGGAATTCCACATTCCTTCTCGCAGCAGTTATCATTTGGTGCATCTTTAGGTGCGCTGTTTTCCCTCTCAATACGTTTCTATTCAGTTTCGCATTTTTAGCCCTCTTATTTCATTCTCTTTCACTTCGCTATGTGTATTAGAGCCGAGGTGGCGCAGTGGTTAGGGTGCAGCACCGCAGGCCACTTCAGCTGACTGTTATCTGCAGTTCGGCGGTTCTAATCTCACCGGCTCAA